TAGCCAAAAGTAATTATTACAATTACAAATTACCAGGAAAAGTAATTAAATTACAGTAATTTAATTACTGTAATTGAATTACTACCCAAGTATGAAAATTATAACCAGATATTAACTATTCAAAATGTCATAAAAAATGAAATTGGCCCTAGTTATATATGATCGAATTCAAGTTTGAACCGACTGCGTTCGTCCAAAAAAGATCTTTTCATATATCATCCATACACTTTTCGGAATACCGGCTGGACAAAGGAAAATAAATACGCGCAAACTATGGCGTGCAGAAACAAAATGACCAAATACGCGACCTTCTAAACGATCACCCTCGTATCATGACCATCATTGAAGGAAGTGTGCCGATGCAAATATTTAGGAGGAACATCATCGACATCATCGTCATTTATTAAACCTTGAAGGCCCTTTCCGGCATTACACAAGGTAGGGGGTACTCGCTGAAAAAAACATTAAAGAAACAAACAAAAAGTGGGTGACATGCTGGAGCACAATGTTTGTTGAACTTTGAACATGCTGGAGAACATAAATGTGTCCTTTCTGTCGCTGATGATGGAAGAATTTTTTACGCGGTGGTCTTTTTATATTTTTTTATCACGTTATGGGCGCGACTATCCGTTAAAAAGAATAAACTAATTTTTTCTATCGCGTGATGGAATGCGGTGGCATTGACTGCAAATCGTTGCGGCGCTTTTTATGTTGCAAATGTGACTACGGAAGTTGCGACTGTACAACAGTGAATATATTGTCTGTTTTGCTGAGTGATGTGCTTTTGGGGGAGGGGCTCCTTTTGTGACGGTCCCCCAGACAACTGTTTTTTTTTTTTTTCATGTTGTCTGAATAAGAAATTGAAAATTGAAATACATTGAAATACTTTTTTCTCTCGCCAGGTGCCCTGATTAGAACCCCCGTTGCGTCTTTGTTTGCGTTTTCCGAGCTGCTAATCCCCATCCTCTACGAGGTTGTTCGTCACTGTCCTTGGGCCATCTGAGAGCACGTGTACGCTCCGATGTTGCTCCTTTCCATGTCAAATTGTCAAACTCAACTCTGAGTCACGCCACTGCGGCGACGCTGCTAGTTGTTTGTAAACAGCGTTAAAGGCCGACCCGCAGAATCGTCTTCAGCCGGGCAGAAAATCGGTTCCCAGTTTCCCCTTTTCTCCATTCCCTCTCCCCCTCTCCCCTGGAGCGGTTCGCTGAGCTACTCCCCGCAAAAGGGGGCAGGGTTCTCAGTCTTTTTTGAATGGAAAGGAGAAATTAGGGGAAAGTTTCTTCTTCCTACTTCAGCAGTGCGAACGCTGGAGAGAATGTCACCCTCTCCACGAACGCTTAACCTGCCATGGTAAGCCAGGAGCGGGGGGAGAAAAACGGGACGGACAACACAAAGCTCCATCGTGTATGTTAGGTAGCCGCAGAAACCTTCGAAAAACAGTCCCTTCTAACATTGTCGGAATTATTTCGAGACCTCTCTCATCGGACGCACACTCAAGCGCAAATGAGTGAACCAACCTGTATGCTGAAACGGAGTTCACTATGCGGGTGTGGTTGTTGGGGTCTGAGTGATTTTCGATGCGAATCTAAGCGTAAAGACTGCAAACCCGCGACCTCCGAGAGTATATGGTCATAGTGGAAACGTTCGCGGAATTTTCTGTACGTGCGAACGTTAAACGAGAGAAGAAAGAGGGGTGCGGTTGTGTTCGCCGGTTCTTTTGTGTCGAAGGTGTTGTGAAAGCGGCGCCATTGTCGGCCGCGATTTGCGATCGCGTCTGAAGGCTTCGTCGCCTCGAAACCAAGGTTTTGAGCTGTGCCCCGAATGCGGAAGAGGCATTCCTTTGCTCGCGACCTTGGAAGAAGATACCCGGCCAAAATAACGCCTCTGCTAGGGTGTCGCGAACTTGTTTCGAACCCGAGTTTCGACGGGTACGGAGGACCTTCGAACTTTAAAGAAAATTCGATGAAGGAGGGGATGGCTGTATGGAAGCTAACGGCATAGAAACAAACAACCTCTACACAAACATTTCGAACTCTGGGAAACAAAATAGATAAAGGATTTTATTTTACATTTTATAAAATCTCTTATTCAATGTATCAGCAACAGCCAAGCTAGTCTTTCAGAAAAAGAAGCAAAGGAAACAAGAAACGCCAACTAAAAACGAGCAGCGAAACTCGAACCGTCGTCTGCTGCGCGAGCGACGCTGGCGACGCGTCAGTCCGTGGCAGGCGGTTTTGTCTTGTCGTCTGCTAAACGCAACGGCGCGTCCTCGGAAAGTGACGCTAGGCAGCTGGATTGCGCCGCTTGTGTTTCGAGCGGATGGAGAGCCTCGGTTAAAGGGAGGACTCAACTCAAACCACGGAGAGCGTTTGCGATTCAATGGCGCAGATGAGTCGCAAGTGCGCATGCGTTGTGTTTTTTTTTTGCGTGGTGATGGGGAAAGCGGGCGAATTCGCTAGCAGATGATCGGCGCTCTCGTCACCACCTCGCAGGCTCCCTGCTGCAAACGTGGTACACAACACACGTGACCTCGATCGAACAGTTGGAAGTACTCTGATATCCAGGCACACTACGAGCGGCACACGAGACGCTCTCGGGACAGTATACATACCCGCACGCGCGCGCGCGGGCGAAGGAGGGAGCGAGCGAACGCACGAAGTAAACCAACTAACTCGAAACGATTTCAAAATGTATGTCGCCGAAGATTGATTTCGCCGACTGGCCTGGATTTTGGCCGCCGCCGCAACCGTTTGGTCGTCTGCGTCACGTTTCAGCTGTCGTCTGCTGTCGGACCTGCTTTGGCGGATGGACACACCGGACTTTATTTTTTTAATTTTTTTTATGGATTGTTTTAAAACTGCGTTTCTTTGTTCTACTTTTACGACTTCGCGGCGGCATTCGTGGTCCCTCCTCCCACTTGTTGTAGAGTGGCGAGAGTTGTGAGGGTCGGGTTGGTCGGTGGGCCCTCGTAGAGGGTATTCACTGGATGCCATATTTGAGGGCCCTGTTTACAGCGCATGCTCAGATTGAACACATATTTATAGGCTGCTAAGACCGGCAATCTTGGTCGTGTGAAATGCATGTTGCAAAAGAACTGTGAAAGCTCGCCATCAGCGCGCACTCAACCCAGGGATCCTGGGTTCAATACCCACCCCCGCCCGTTTCAATCTGGATGAGCATCGTACCGGCGTGCGGTCGTATATCACTACTGCTTGGTGCATGTTAAAAACCCCAGGATAGTGGTTTGCACTGCACTGGCTAAATTTCTCATCTACGGCTGGAAGACAAGTCACCTGTTGAGGCCGACTAAGTTCTAGGCTGTAAAACATACACACGCACAAAACCTTTCTAAGCGTGTGCTCAACAGAGTTGCACACACAGCTATGGCTGCATTGGGACTCTGATTGAATACTCCCCATAGGGTGCCTTCATGTGCGCTTTGTTTAGGCTGATGACATTCTTTGTGCTATTCAATGCCGACAGAACGCGCTCTCAAGAAAAATAAAAAAGTAATAGCCAGTCGCAAAATGCTGCCATAGCACTGTCAATGCCAAGAGCTCGTGCAGAGAGGTAAGCTTTCTTGCGTTGAGGAACGCAAAAAAAACAAAAAAAAAAAACGGTACAAAATGGTCAGATGTCATCACCTGAAGCAAAGCGCACATGGAGGCATCCTAGGTCCTTATGGTTTCTGGCGTTGCTGCTTATTTTATTAGAATGTTTTATCTATTGTTCCGGTATCTCCGATAACGATTCCTGATAACGATACAAAGGTATTGGAGCCACTGGAGTCATTCACTAAAAGCATGTCCATTAATTCTACATAGCTTAAAAGTGTGCTGTAAAATAAGAAAAAAAAGATTTAGTTTATTAATTTGCCCAATTGGGTTGTGTGTGTGTTTATACAGCCTAGAACTTGGTCTGCCTCACAGGGGCGACGAGTCTCCCAGCTGTAGATGAGAAATTTAGCCAGTGCGGTACAGCCGCTAGCCTGGGGTCTTTAACGTGCATCACGCAGTAGTGATACACGACCGCACGCCGGTACGATGCTCATCCAGATCGAAACGGGCAGGGGTGGGGCTCGAACCCAGGATCCCTGGGGTTCTGCAGCGCGAGCTTTCGCTCCACGTGCTCCGAGCTGGTGTGCGCTAGACCACTCGGCCACCGATCCCCCCTAATTTGCCCAAAGTAATAGGTATACTGTAAAACCCTTTATTTTCGCGAATCGGTCACAGATGACATAATCGCGACCACTAAATTTCGTGAATTCCAGACGCCTGCATTGAAAATCTTAAGAACCAAAATTTTTGCGTGCCCTTAAATTTCGCGAATTCTTCAATTCGTGAAATTTGCGAAAATTGAGGGCTCGCAAACATTAAGGGTTTTACAGTATATAGAGAAAAGGTTTCTGGAGGTGACATATTTTCAAGCTACCTAGAACTTGTTTGCCGTCACAGAGATGAAAAGGTACACATCTCATCACATTGCTGCAACTCATTCTAAAGCAAAAGTTTTTGCCATTAATTGACGTTTTCAGATCAGTACCTGGATAGAGCGTTGTAAGCTAGCAAGTTGTGAAATTATGTATGCATATTCAAGTTACATTTTATATGTTTTGCCGTTTGGACATATGTTTGACAGGAGCCTTATGCTATCGAGCAGGTGCAAAGAAACTGAAATTGCATCGATACCATCTACTGGAAGAAGATGGCACCACTTGCACAGCTCATATTACACGGAACAGTTTGAGGTGGAGTTGTTCTTTGCCCTAGGAGACACTTGCTGACACAGCCACGAAATAAATGTAGAAAATGAAGGCTGGTATAGGCGCATCATCGTTCCAACTCGTTCAAAACTTGTTTTAAAGTGCCACTGATTTTTTTTTTGTTTTTGTTTTGAGTTTGCAGCTAATACGCAGAATTTTCTGCAGAGCAAGGAATTCTTCGAGTTTGTTAGTGGTGCTGGCGACTGACAAACTTTCTTTGGCTTCTTTTCCCCAGACATACTCTGGCCTGTTCTGTGTGGTGGTGAACCCCTACAAGAAGCTCCCCATCTACACGGAGAAGGTGATTGAACTCTTCAAGGGCAAGAAGAGGCACGAGGTGCCCCCACACATCTTTGCGGTCACCGATGGATCCTACCGAAGCATGTTGCAAGGTGGGTCGAATGTGCAGTAGCCTCTCTTCACGCCATGCGACGTCTTGAATCCTCGTTTTCGGGCCGCCGCACGAAAGCCAGACATTTGAACACGAAAGACGGCCCCGTAGCCTTCCGGTTAAAAGAGAGCAAATTCGACGTCTCCAACCGCACCGATTCTGCTACCACCGAAGAATGAAATTGTCATTGTGTTGTTTGCGTGTTTAGACCACCGGAAGTTGGGCAGCTACAATAGACCTTTTTTATTTACTCTTGTCCCCTGCCACCTAATGGGTGTGTCCAGTATGTGCGAAGAAAAAATAATGAATCATTTGATCCTGTAAATGGGAAAAGAATAGGGGGAGGCAAAACGAGAATGTGGGACGATCATGGTCATATCGCAAATGTCTTCCATTGGCTTGGTGGCGGCAGAACAGTGCTTTCGCCCGTACTGGAAGTAACGAAATTTAAGGTGGCTGCGCCCCGTTGATGAAATTTAGCTAGTAGTACCACTGCCAGCTCGGGTCTTTATTGTGCATCGCACATTAGTTATGGACGAACTTACCCCCGGTACAATGCTCGTCCAGATCGAAATGGCTGTGGGGGGGTTGAACTCGGCGTCCCTGGGTCCTGCAGCATGAGCTTTAGCTCCGCGCGTTCCAAGCTGTGGCGAGCCAACACACTCGGCAGCCGATCCCCCCATTTAAGAATGCAGACAACACTGTCGGACGAGGAGTTTTGAATCCTTGTCGTCTCATTCTTTAGCTTTGAGATGGCCCAATGGCATGTCAGTAGTTTTAGCGACTTCGGTGGCTCTGAGGCAAAGCGCAGGTCCACGGCTCGCCAGTTGGCGTGTTCGAACTGCGGCCGGGGTGTCCGCTACCTGACTGCGACCTATTACGGAGAAGGTCACCCAGATTTTCGTTGCATGTCAAAAGGTCCCTGAGTAGTTGAAGTTATTCCTCAGTCTTTCGCTGGAGCATGCCAGATGCCCACAGTTGGTTTGGCAGTTAGAAGTCCCAAATTTGGAAATGGTGGCAACGACAACAAATGCAATAACTTCTCCGAGATAATGTGAATAAGCGGTTGGCACATACTTTGCACCTTGGGTGCGCAACCTGAGTACCGTCCCATCGATAACGAATTGTGTCCGTGTGAAAGGACTGTCTCCTTCGGAATGTGTCGATTGAGTCAACGTTGCAGAATGAATGGCAACGATCATCAGTTGCACTTATGCAAGCGACCACACGCTGTTATGATAAGGCTTACTGTTGTTACGCAACAGTAGGAACGGGTTATCTGAGAGAAACACACATCCGAGTGTCTGCCATTTTTTGTATCAAATATCGCTTCTCGATAACCAAAGCCACCTGAAATAGAATGTTATCTAGTTTGACCTTCCCACCGTGCTTTTTCGCTTGCTTCCCGAGGCACGCCGAGATCGTTTTTGGAGTGAGACAAGCGTTACATGACTGAGAACAGCTTTCCGCGAGGCGCAAATAACAAAGTAAAATAATTAGCGGATGTCATCATTTTGCCCGTGGCCAGCCGGCAGTTACTTGCCATCTTACGCCCATACCTGCGGTTCGTAAGCATAGGCACAAAAGCGAGGGAACTATAGTCTTTGACAGGGACGCCAACGGCAAGAGTTTTTTTTTCGCCAGTTCCCGGATGGGGTGTTTTTTTGTGTTTCCTTTCCGACACTTCCACACCTTTTTGTCTCCCTTTGCACGTTCGATCTCTTTTCCGTTTAGTTTTTTTTTAAATTCCCCCATAATCTTTTGGCGGCCAGGCCCGTTAGAGCGGGGCCCAGGAAGGATGCAGTCGTGGCAGAGGAAACGAATCGAAGGAATAAAACAGTTAAAATACAACACAAAGAAATACGGCAGAAAGAAATACAAAAAGAAAAGGAAGGCTGGGATAAAGGGGGTGTGGCTCCGGCCCTGCCTGCAGGGGACAGATTAGGAGGGGTCTCGCCACACGCCGACTCCGTTTCGACGGTTGTGCTCGCTGTCTGCGACGATTGCACGGTGGTCGTCTTGTTCGAGAGGAAATAGCGGTGATGAGGCCTAATGGAAATAAACACGTTAATTGACGGCCGAACTGCTGCGAAGCGACAGGTGACTAGGCAAGAAAATCGGGGTGTTATTTTGCTTCCCGTGTAGCGAGGGAAACGTTGGTTGCACAACGTTAGTCGACATAGTGGTATGTTGTAACGCTTTGCTTTGATGTCTCTTTGTGTCTTGGGGTCGGAGCAAACTTGTACGCTGTGTGTTGCTTTTAGTGCAAACTTGACATCGGTGCTTTTCTGTATTTTTGTTTTTTAGCTCCTCCCTGCTGTGCTCACTTTGTCGGTGCTTATAAAAGTATATTGCTTAGGTTACTGCCTCGAATGTGGACCTTCCTCCACACTAGCAGCCCTTACGGCGGCCTCTCGGTTTGAAGATAGAAACAGTTGAAACTGGCGGTCGCTTGCTCGTGCTAACAGCGTCACGCTGAGTATGTGCGTCTACCGTAACATCCTAAGAGATGCCCCGAAAAATATCCCACCCCCTATTTCTGGCTTGGATTTGCCATTTTCTTTTGAACACCGAAAGACGGCCCACTTCTAGTTATCAAAGTGTTTGGATCCATGACGACCTCGGCATAAGCGTGGCTAGTTAGCTACATTGTGATAAAAGCGAACATTGCGGACTGGGAAGTACTGTACCGTAAAAACCCGCATATAGTTTGGACCCGCATATAGTCCGAGGTGTAATTCGGGGATAGAAAACACGAGAAAAAACGTTTTCACACGAATATAGTTCAAGAAAAACAGAAAAATGCATTTATTTACATTACACCTTATTCGTCGTCCTCGTCTGACGCACTCTCTTCCGAAGTTCCCTTGTTGGAAATGTCCTCCCACAGCACCTCATCCTCCATGTCATCAAGCGCGTTTGAAATGGAACACTCTTTAAAGGCACGACAAACCAGCGCCTCGGGAATGCAGGCCCACGCCTCGGCGATCCATGCGCAGAGCAGAGCTGGCGAGGTCCGTTTCAGCCGTCCGGCAGGGGTCACTTCCGGCTCTCCGGACCTCATCCACTCCATATACAGGCGCCTGATATGGTCCTTAAACGACGAGCTCGGTGCGGGAGTTGCGCAGCAGTCGCTTCACGGAGTCCGCCAGATGACACCGAAACGCGTCGAGCACAAGCATCGATGGGAACCCCAGCAGTGCTCCGGGCCGTCGACACCACACGGACTTTATCCAGTCCAGCACTAGCGATTCGTCCATCCGCCCCTTGTCCTGGCAGCGGATGACAACATTTTTTGGGAACTTCTCCCCCTTCGGCAGCGTCTTGCGTTTGAACACCACGTAGGGTGGCAGCTTGCGACCGTCTGCCGTGCAGGACAACATTACAGTTACCCGCGTTTTCTCGTTCCCAGTTGATCGCACGGTAACTTGCCTGGAGCCTTTTTGATGCACCGTTAGAGCCGAGGGCATATCGAGGTACACCGGTGTCTGGTCAGCGTTGCCGATCTGGCCCAGCTGAAAGGGGACTGCCTTTCGCAAAGAAATCGCGTGCTTCTGAAAAGCCACAAGCAGCTAGCTCTTCGTAGCTTTCTGGCAGCTTCTGCGAGATCGACGTACACCGACGTAGGGAGAACCCAGCCGGCGCATGAAGCGAGACACCCAATGCTTGCTTGCCTTGAAGTCCGCCTGCTGAATGCCTTTGTCTCGAGCGATCTCCCTTGCCTTTGCTTGCAGCAGCTTGATGTTCACCGCGAGATGTGTAGCTCGTTGCTCCCGAACAAAGTCCGTCAGTTCTCGTTCCACTTCGGGAAACGCTCCATTTTTCGGTCCCCGGAAACTTTTTCTCTGGCCGCTGCATGCAAAAAGGGCTTGCTTCTGGTTCCGCCAACCGCGAATGCTCCGCTCGTTCACGCCGAACTGCCGCTCCGCAGCACAGTTGCCGATGGTTTCGGCAGCAGGAATAACTTTTCTTTTAAAGGCAGCCGAGTACTGCCTGCGCGGTCCTGACATGGTGTAAAATCACAGAAAATTGTGGCCGTCGTGATGTGCGCCAAGTGATTGCAATGGCCACTGTTGCACGCCTGTCCTGTAGGTCTCTAGGACTATCGCCACCAACGCCACTAACGCTACCTAACGCAGAAGCGCGCAGACACCTAATGATGGTGATAGCACCGCCCAATGCCGAAACCAAAACCAAAACTGTGAATTCGGGCCGAAAAGTTTTGAGATCCGCATATAGTACGGGGCCGAAATTTCACACCCTAAAATTTAGAAAAAAAAACCTGGGCTATACGCGGGTTCTTACGGTAATTTTTGCTTTGTTGACCCTCACCATGATGACTAGTCTGGCAAGAAACGTGGTGTAAAAAAGGGTTGTTTTTTTCCATCTTTTGTTAATTTTACATTGGAAGTTGCCCACTCTCTATTTTCACCAGATTTACTCTCGATTTTAGGTGGGCTATTTCTCGGGATATCATGGTGGGAGGTTAGAGTGCCACGAAATCTCGCAGCATCTGTGTCTGGTGCGGTGAGGCTGGTGGCCTGGGGTGTATTGTAATGTGCATTGATGGGTAGCGGTTATGTGTCTGCATTCCGTTACAACAGCCGTTTATGTTGTAACATGTTCGGAGTAATTAGATGGAAGTTGAGGAGTTTGGTGTGCGAATGTCTGGAGCTGTGCTGAGAGTGCAACACTTACAACGTATCGCGCGACATACCCATACATCTCGAGACAAATGTCCATGTTCCATTGAAGATGTTACTGCACTGCCTGTGGCAGTGATGGAAACGCTGCGCCATTTGCGGCAAATTGCGCCATAAACGAAAGTCTGCTACATCTTGCGCCGTAGTACCATTTTTGCCAAGAATTGTGCCATACCAACGTAAAGCAAAATCTAAAAATATTTTATTATTGGTCGTCCCTAATATTCGTAGAAGCAGGAGGAGAGGAACATGGTACAAATACGTATTTCACAGCATCATAGCTCACCGTATAGTTTGT